AGATAGAGTCCCATCTCCGAAACGTCGTTTTACGTTTTATATTTACTAGACGATGGATAATATCCAAGAAAATTTTTATTCAATTTATTACTGTTAACGAAAACAAAACTTATTTTCAGATTTTGAACAAAATTTTGTACAAAACGGACACCATATTTGAATAAATCCACGATATCTGTGTTTAAGAATTTCAAGTAATGGCCTTTAATGTTTATTTTATTCTCTGCGTAAAAGAAGCTATGAATACATTAGGACTTCATTTTAGGGATTTTCGTTAACAGAAGTTATCAGTAGTTCTTGATTACTTACTTTTAATTTCAGGCTGAATAAAGGTGTTGGTTCTTTGATAATAACTTAAATTAAAAATCACTAAGTTAAAGTGTAAAAATGGATAAATAAACCTAGATACATTTAAATTGAGTAATGTTAATTTGATCACGAATAAAATTCTACTAATATCTTCTGAAGATAGCCGTCTTCTGATTTGTTGCGCCGTGTAATCGGATAGAATTCTGACGTCTCAGAGCAACATGCAACCCAGAAGACAGATATCTTCATACTCGCCGCCAAGTAAACTTTAAATTTCCCAGTAACTTCTTTGCAACGTGACAGATTCTTATCAGTACAACAACGGTCTCTGGATTTGACAGCAAAGGAATAAAAAAAACTACCCACAAATTGTCCCTATACACAAAATGCAACAACGCTGTTGCTCTACCATAAGATCAACCGAGTACCTCGAAAGAATTAGTTCGGTTGCATTATGTTTAGACCATATAAACTCACTCACTCACTCAAACGTACAAGCTTAATCGTTTATAAAGCAGAAGGCGTGAATTTTGAAGATTTATTTAGCCATGGAATAGAATTATAAAGTAAAATCCCGCACTAGAACGTATCTTAAACCTGAGATGATAATGTTGCGTCATATTGTGTTGAATATATACTTGTTCAATTTTATCAGTCTAATCACAATAAAATATTATTATTAAATATTAAAATATTAAAATGTTCGATTTACATTAGAGCATCAGGCTCTAATGTAAATCGAACATTTCGATAGAGAGCATCATTTTAATATATTTTAAATATTTAAATGTTAATTGTAATATTTTAATATTTAATAATAATATTTTATTGTGATTAGACTGATAAAATTGAACAAGTGTATCTTAAACCATTTAAATTAAATTCCATCTCCGTGCTCTACTTGTTACCCATTTTAATATCATCCTCCCTTCTCCTAATTCTTCTCAGTTGTAATTTATTAAGATATTGAAATTAAAATTCTGGATGCTTGTTTCATGGCTCCCGTTCGTGCTTCATTCCCCATCCAAACCGTCCACCGTATTTATTTTAAAAGTATCAGGTGAAGACAGCACATTCCGAATCCCCTAATTGCGTATTTTTCGTCTCTCAAGCTCTCCTTCACCATTTGTTGCGTAGGGAAGGGGTGTTTAAATTCAAGTATTAGTCGATATTTTCTGTTTTGTCGATCGGGAAAGCATGCGCCCTTACAGTACGCTGCTCGTGTCAGCACCGTGGCACAGAAATTCCCCACGAGTATCTAGAGGCCTTGGTTTAACACGAAAACCACTCCCTGCAGGTACACCCCGAAGTTACACTGATCCTACCAAGCTACTCATCCACTTTAAATCTTCTGCAGGCAGTGACCCGGAACCCATAATTGGGTCACGCAGAGGAGAATCAAGTGAAATCTCATAAACTAGTAGCTCTCCGGGGTGCACGCATCATTAGGCGTCTATTATTGATCGGTTGATTGCTGAATTTTTATTATATTACGTCTGCATAAGTCATGGTGTAGAATCTTCTTTCTTTTACTATAAAAATTTGTGATTTCGTCGTCGTCGTCAATAAATTACGTCATCAACAATATCAACTATAAACAAACTCGGCATTGTTGTGGAACACGACAATGCCGAGTACAACACAACAATGCCGAGTTTAGTGTCTTACTCAAGATTTTAAAACGCAACCAACCCCCCCGAAGGGGTTGGTTGCTTTTTAAAAACTTAATCGAGCTCCCCCGAAAGGGGGTTGGTCAAGTATTTTAACCCTCCATTCGGGGGGTTTAGTTTAGTTTCTTACACAAGATTTTAAAACGCAACCAACCCCCCCGAAGGGGTTGGTTGCTTTTTAAAAACTTGACCAACCCCTCCGAGGAGCTCCGAAAGGAGCGTTCTGCCCTAGTAAACTGAAAATTAACATTATTGTTAAGAAGGTAATAATTCAACAAAACGTTTATGTTGCTTATTATGAAGTAATATCCGGCATTCTCGTGGACTGGGTCTTAATTCTTAGTTTATTTAATGACGTTGTTTCAACCACAAAAGCTGCATATCTTTTATCAATATGTAAAAATTAACATGAATGGTGAAAGAATCGAAATATGAAATAAGATGATAATTACATACATGTTATTATCACTTTCTTTGCGAAATCCACAAAACACTTCTTAATTTGATTTTCACAAGCTCAGACTTGTTTGTCTGTCTGTCTTGCAGCGTCATTAAACAACCTGAAAATCAAAATGCGCTTATTGTTTCAGAACATCGCTGTCCATCTGAATGAAAGTTGCACAAGCTGTTTCCCTTTAGTTGATCCAGTGTGTTTCGACTATGAATTAGTCAGAATATATGGTCGCTTTAGAGGCAAACCTCTGTGAGGGTCAAACTAACCTCAGTTGCGATTATAGTGGGGAGCCAGGTGCTTGATTGGTTCCAGCCCCCCGCCACCTCTGTAACGTTAGTATCTACATACGAGCATAACCCATAAGAACATTGTAATCTTCACTGCCGTGAGAATCTCAAATTATGCACAATTATTCTTGTATGTGATTTAAAATTTTCAGACGAAAGAAATTAAAGTCTTAGATTCTTCACTTGCATTGGTAATGGATGAAGGGAGATGTTAAAATCTCAGCCCGGGGATAGAACAGCAGACCGATGGCTGGTTATAAGAGCGTTTTTAAGTCCTGCATCTAAATTCAGTCACTCCAAGGCCGTCTGTATATCTTTGTTCATTTAACGACACTGTATGTATTACGTAGATTATATATTTTCAAATGACGAAAATGATTATAAATCATGTACTGTGGCGAAATTGCCACGGTGGTCTAGCGGTTAGAACGCTGGCCTTGTAATCCTGGGGTCTCGGGTTCGATTCCCGGTGGTGCCCGAATTTATAACTTGTGTTGGGCAAGGCCGTGGCCTAGGCAACACGGAGTTTTCCTCATTGGCATCCCAACAATTACTCCATTCACACTCAGAAGAAGGCAATGGTAAACCACTTCTGGATCATCTGCCAAGAACGTATATGAACAGGTCCCAGTCCGAGAAAAGGATGGAAGGATCCTGTTCATATGGACCTGTCGTCAGACAGAACACTAAAAAAAAACAAAAAACAAAGAAGAAGAAGAAGAAGAAGAAGACATCAGCATGATCGTCTCCTGTATTAATATAGTGGATGGGAATTGACTGACTTGATAAGAGTTATTTACACGTGTTTTAATCCTAGATTTCATCTATACGTGATATAATAACACTGTCCGTTACGGAAAATTTTACATTAATTTCAGACGCTGGCGACTTTGATTCCAAAAAATGCAAACGAGGCTATGTTGACGCCTATGATGGGGCCTGGAGGAGTTGCGTTTGGCAGGAATTTGGCTTCAGTCGCCCTGAAAATGGTATTCACATTTTATTCACTTTGTAAATACATTTTATAAATGTTCAATTTAAATTCGTTTTTTGTTTTAAATAATGCTGCAAAACTACTTAAGACAAAAAAGGTCCATTGATTTCAACTTTGACAGGTCACACGCTAAGTTAGTACCATTATAGTTGACACAGAGTATTTGAAGAAACAACAACAACAATAATAATAATAATAATAATAATAATAATAATAATTCAATTCAATTCTTTATTATTTGTGTGCTGTATCAACAGCCTAATGGCCAATTACAGATACAGCACAGAGACGAACTCACAAACACAGTAAAACATAAAAGGTGAAACAAGCAATATATAAAATATATTGATACGGAAAAAATACACAAAAAATTACTACTAACTACATTAGGATATTTGTAAAAATAACATGAATCAATTAAGTAAA